TCCGTGACTGAGTAGTTACCGCGTTATGATTCGATAATGAATCTGATAAGTTATCTTGTTTTTAATTGCGAGAGCAAATGACTTTTCCCAGCAAGCTTTCTGGGAATTGGGACTTTTCACCGCAAACGTTCTTTTTTTTACACTTTCATGCTCAATTTCCTCAAAATAAAAAGTAAAAATACTTTTGAGCGAATTTGTGTTATTTAATTTTTGAAATGTATTTGAAAAGTTTTGGTTTTGATTCTCGTCCTAACTTTTGTGGGCTAATTATCCGTTTTTTTTTCTAAATGCATTTTAAATTATCTGGTACGCTTTTCCAGCATTTTCTTTCCAAAGCATAGGTTTTCAATTTATCATTCAAACAGTTTGTTCCTGCTTTATCGCACTGGCGAGCTTTCGAGCATTAGTGTATTAGAACGAACATTCATATTTTCTTAACTAACTTGCAAATAAAAGTGTTCATTAAAGTGTTCACTCAAATTGAAATTTCACTGTAGCATTGGAAATTGCATAATAGTTGTTCTCTGCTATTTTGTGTCTAGTTTTGTCATTAATTAGGCGTCCGTGAGTGAGTAGTTACCGCGTGAGAATTATAATCTCTAGGTCGCAGTATGTGGTAGGTTCTAATCCGAGACGTAGCCGAATTATTACTAATTCGAGGCTTTTTACTACTTTATTCCTTTTGTGTTTTTAGAGCTACTTTCTGTCGTGTACCCGCTAGTGTTTGTAAAGTGCAGCTTCGTCTCTGTGTAAAAAGATGTTTTATGAAATGTATGTGATTTGGTTTTTTCGTGTTTTAGGCAGGAAATTTTTTTTTCAAGTTTTCCGAAAATTTTGCTCAAACTTTTTTTAGCGATTTGCAAAAAGGTGGTATCAATGGAAAAACCACTCACTTGAGTTTTTAGGTTCAATGGAAAGAATAGGTTGTAGACAGCACTGCTGCTTAGGCAGTTACGCTCGTTTTCTTCCACAAAAGTTTATTGATTTTTGAATCGTTTTTTTTTCAAATTTTTTGGCTTTTGAAAACAACTCTCCCAAATCTGAAAATGAAATTTATGGCTCTTCGAAAAAAAATAACATACCAAATGTGAGATTTTGATTTTAATCGAAATAGCAGGTTGTGCGAAGTTTCTCTGCATAAGCGGCTAGGTTTCAGTTTTTAGCACAAAAAGCTGTGGCCCTCGGAAAAGTCAAGTTTTGATTGTTTGACCAATTTTTTTTGAATTTTTTCTGGTCTCGAAAACTGAACCTGTCTTGAAACCTAATAAGAGGTTTTTAGTTCAATCAAAATATTGAGCTGTGAAAAATGCTCATGCTTTCGCGGCTATGTCTAAAAATTTTAAACACATTTTCATGGCCCTCGGAAACTTCAATTTTTGATTGTTTGATTGTTTTGAAACTTATTTATTTTTCTCGAAAACTACCTTCGAGTGCGAGTTTTTGGGCTCAATCAAAAGATAGAGTTAAGAGAAGCTCCCCTGTACAAAATGCTATTTGCAATTTTTGCAAAAGAAATGGCACACTGAAAAGTCAATGTTTTGAGATTCTGTGGGTGTTTTGTTACTTTTGCATTTCTCGAAAACAACCCAGTCGACTCTAATCTAACCGTTTAATCGAAGAATGAAGTAGTGGGAATATTGTTCGAAAAAAAATTGTCCTCAGGAAGTTCTAATTTCTCCAAAAAATTTCACAAATATTTATTTTATTAGAGAAATAATTAAAGCTTTGGGTGAAATCAATTTTAGATTTTTTGGTTTCACCCATTTCATCCTGCATCAGTACAACAAAGTCGCAAAAAGTCGAAGAGGTAGCTTCAGTAAAGTAAGTTGCGAAAAAAATTTGACAAACAAGCCAAATTTTGGGCTCTACTCAGGCGAAACTCGAGAAACGAAAAAACCTGCTACTTTTAGCTCACTTTCTTCTATATCGAAATTGATCCCTCTACCAAGTCTGCTGCGAATCTATTTTCCATTACCAATCGTACAACCAACATTCAGTTTTGTGGAATGCAGCGATAGAACAGAAAATTAATATTGCGCAAAGAAGTATAATAGAAGAAAATACCATTGCTATTACTTCAGAAAAAGCCCGCAGTGTCAGCAACGACGCATTCTTTTTTGATTACCAGAAAAAAAGACCCAATTGATTTTTTATCTGCAACTAGAAATCAGTAACTGGAATAAGATCTTGCTAACTGCAGCTAAAACTATATTCAAAAATCTGTCTGACTGACGTAAAGAAGGCCAACTATATACCTTTTATGCTGTATTCACCATTACTATAATCCAAGTGTTTCTTTTTAGCAGTAGAAAAGAAGACTGAAATGATAGTTTCGGATCGGCTGCTTTTGAGAATAAAAAAAACAGAATCATAGCGCGAAACCAAAGAACCAAAAGAAGACTTAAGGTTATCTTTCTTGGAGTTACTGTAACTAGGTTACAGTCTGTTGAAAAATCGATCAAAAAATAGTTGACCGTTTTGTACCTCATTGACCGTTGTGTACCCCATACATTCAAAAGTTTTACAGTGGATGAATTTTATGTTCAATTCAAGTTCATCTACTAAAAGAAAGGCAATTTAAGCTACAGAAGTGCAGATGGCGACTTTTATTTTCTAAAGCATTAAAAAAAACACTTTTTTTTCTGAATTCAATGTTTTTCTTTCAAGGATCCCAGAATTTAACAAATTTAAATTTTTGACATTGAGATGTTTTTCTTTTGTTTCATGAAAGCCTAACTTGGCAGACTCGCGAAATTTAAACAGCTGATACGTCATTAGGATTTGAAACTTTTTCTATAAAATCCATAATCTTTATAATGGTTTATTGTCTTTGTTTTAACTTCTTGCTTTCGTAAAATTTTCCAAAGTCAGCAAAACAGGCAGAAATTATAACAAAAACCATGATAGCATAAGCGCTCGGTACAATTTACATTTTTACTGCAAAAAAGGAACACAAAAGAAGAAAAAATTATTATATATCTATAATAGTTCCTTTATAAAAGTAAACATTTCGCTGTAAAGCCAGGCCCAAATTACTCTCATGGTGGCGATGTACCAGGATACTATTATGAAAGAGCAGCGCAGAACTATTTTTTTTCCTTTCTCTCATTTTTTTCTTTCAAGGCTTTTTAAAAAACGCAATTTCTCGAAAACCAGAAGATTTGAGAGAATCATCTTCTTCCCAGCATAAGATCACATCCCTATGTGTCATCTCTGATAGCATGCAAATAATAATTTTAAATTTTTTGTTTTAGATTTTGTTAATAACAAATTTCGGCAATTTTTCAGAAAGCTACAACTAAATTAGCTTTCAACTTGAACGCATTTTCAAAAACTATAATTGAAAAGAGTTCTGGATACCATAAGTCCAAGGTACACTCAAGCTTTTTACATGCTTCTTCATATCATTTTTTATGAGAACAGTTTTTACTATGAAATTTTCTACAGAAAAAAAAACAATCTTGTTTTTTAAATCGGAAAACCTAAAAAAAATTAGAAAAAATGAAATTTTCGAAAACCAGATAGTATCACCCCCTTAGTTTCTACAATTGAAAGTTACTTAACCTTGTTTTTTTTGTCTGATCACATTTTTGCTACGGGTTTTGAAAAAGTTTAGAAATATAAAACAGGTTATTTCATGGTTAGCATAAATATAATTATCTTTAAGGTTAAGAACAAAAAGGCAAACTTCCTTTTGGTTGTTTAACCTTAAGTATCAGGCATAAGATGGTTATCGAAAATCACGTGTAGAAGCCTATTTCCCAGATTTGTGAGCGAAGTTGATCCAATTTCACTTGTACAGCATGATGTGTGAAATAATGGGAGCAACGATCTGCTTGTTTTTAGAAAACTCAATTTTAAAAAAAGTCTGTCTAAATAAACGTTCTGTTGCAGCTTGTTGGCGTATTTTATGCGAAATGTTAATGGCCACATTCATAGACTTTTTGGGCAATTATTAGTATGTTTTCTTGGTGTTTTTTTGAAAATGAATTGAGAATTAGGTGACTCTAGCTTCTATAATCAAAAACAAGCAGCCTATTTTGTATTATTGGTTTTAAATTAGCCGTGTAATACGTTAACAGTACTGCCCTTGGTACAAAATGTCTCATTTTGGAAACAAAACCACAATGACCTCCTAATTTAGTTTTAACCTTGATAGTTTGTTCGGAAAAAGCTGAACTTGTTGTCAACGATAACACCGAGATATTTTGACAATAGTTTTGCTGTAAAAATTAAATCACTCATAGCAACAAGTTTTTTTTTCAGATTTTTTGAATCGTGATGCTTTTGATGTCATTTTGGATTTCATTTCAGATAAAACTTAAACGAGTTGAGACACAACCCCGACCTCCATGAAGTACTAGTTTTTAACTGCTTCCAAAATTTTCATGTAGATCGAAGCGAGTTCTTTTGGTTGAATCAGCAAGAGCATCTTTTTAGGCAACTTTTGGACGGAACTCAAAGTGTTTGAAGTAGAGCTGAACTTCTGATATAAGTTGAACTTCTGATATTAGTTATATAATCAAAAAGGCATCAATTTTTCGAATGTCTTAGTACAGATAACCAATAGAGAGCTGGGGCGCCGGTTATTCAGATCTAAATAACTGTCTCCTTTATGAAGTGGCAACACTTAAGCAAAATTGAGGTTATTGGGAAGATACCCTGAAATAAACGTTAGGCTGATTAAATAAGTTAGTTGGGGCGCAATTATATATGCTGTAATTTTTAGGAAGTGACTGCTTATTTCATCAATTTTGGTTAAGACTGTTAATCACAGAAAGAGTTTCACAAAAAAAGGGTTTTGAAAGATATGTTATGTTTTATTTTTTAAAGCTTCCTTATGTTTTTGGTTTTGTAATTAAAAGCTAATTTTCGCTTTTTTTTCTTTTATACTTTTTCTTGCATAAGCTCATTTTTTCTCGTAAGCATGAAGTATTAACTCTGTAAGTTATTTTGGTTAATATGGAAGAGATCATAAAAATTTAAATTAAGTAGCCAGATAATTTGTTTTTCAAAAGCATTTAAAGTGATAAATACAAAGACTCCTAGAAATTTAATAGTTTTTCAAAAATGTGAAGCTTCTCTATCTTTTTTACTTGACTGGAGGAGGAAATTTGACTGAGTTTGTTGAAATCGGTCTCGGCATTGGACTTGAAGCCCTTGGTCTCAATTTGACCCCTGACCTCTCTGAAACTGAAAGATCATTGCCCATTTCTTCCCCGCTCCTTCTGGGGCTCAGAGCTCTTTTTGCTCTCTCGATAGCCGACATTCCTTTGCTCTCGTCTTTTGAAGTGACTCTTGACTCGCCACTGCGTCTCGAATTTCTCGAAGAGCTCTCGGTTGCGTCGAACGATGATGAGGGTTTGTCAGTTGAGACTTCGAAATCAGAGGCCTCGGTTATTAGGGTGCCGAGTTCTTCGGTTACAAGACGTGCTGCTTGGGCTAAAGTTGCTTCGAGAGACCCTGCGAAAATATTTTTAGTCAGCCTCTTACTCTTTTTAAAATTCATTTTCAACTTTTTTTTCAGATTTTTGAATTTGTTTGGTTTTTTTTCTATTATACACGCATTAAATAACTGTGTTTCAAATTGCACGTTTTCTATGTCCACTAGAATGCACAAATCGATATGTCAGAGGAAGAGCAATAAAACAAAAATACTCAGGCTGTTCTGATAAGTTTTTAGGACGCACCTGTCGAGCCTTGGGACGTCAACAGACTTGACTCTTTGTCCGTCTGATTATCTACTGGTGCTGATGAACTGCTAGATGCTCTCTTCCTATTGTCACTGTCACTTTCATTCCCATCAGAAGGAGTCTGAAACAATAGCATTTCATCTATAGTTTGCGGGATGTAAAAGTATAAAGTATAAAAGTATGTAAAATCAAATTATGGTGGGGGAAAACCTAAGAAATGCACACTCGCTTCCTCAAATTTTCCTTGTTGCTATCTTGAAAAATTACAAATAAACTTATGGATATTTCTATATCAACCAAAACACTTTATTATAAATTATTGAGTTTTTTTTTCTGTTAGACGGCCCAAAAATGCTCGTTATAATATTGGAATGACTGATCGTCATGCTTGAATCTGATCAGTTGAAACTGTTTCATAGCAAATACGAATCTAGATTATCATTGAAAAAGAGAAGCTCAATTAAAAACTTGGTAACTTTGAGCCGTATAACAGAAAACACTCGAATTTTTTGCGGCAACCTCTGAATTTGAACCAATGAATTGGCGAGTGTTTAGCTTACCTTGCTTTTCTTCCTGCGTCCCAAAGTGAAGAACCACTTCCTCTCTGCGCCTCCCATTGTATCCTGAAACAAAAAAAAAACTAAAACAGAGAAACTAGAACATTGCATTCTAAGACAAAAAAGACATTATACTTTTTCAACAGACTTTTTTCTGGTATTTACATTGAAGTATTTGTTGTGCTTGACTTGAAATGGCGACAATTCGTTGCGATTATGAAAAGCGACAGTTCGCGCTAACTATTTTGATCAGGCATCATTGCCTGGTAATTCCAAAATTTTCTCTATATTCATTCGCACAACGACCAGGGTATGGCCATTTGGTTGCTGTGCTTGGCCCAATCAATATTCAAGTAGTTTCTTGGTTTTCTACCACTTCAGGAAAATGGAAGGAACTTTAGCGTAAGGTATTTTGTTTTTCAGCTGATTCTGACTACCTGAAAGAAAGCTTGAAGAAAATCAATTGTAGAATTTTTTTAAACTCCTAATAGTGGTAATTCACTTTTTAAAAGTTTCATAACTGTTATCTTAGTTTAAAGAAAAAATGGTCTCCGTTTTTGATGGCTATTCGGACTAATAAGTCTGAAACCTAGTTTTCGGATTAATTTTGATTCTAAGTTCAATTTGCTTTAATCAATAACCAATCCTAATTAAGAAATACGCCCCCTCCCTCCCCCCATACGCTCATGACTAAAAACAAAATCGAAAAAAATTCTGAAAAAGTATTTGCTAAAAAGATATTCGTTTTTACAGAAGAACGGAGCATTCTCTGCTACTTGCGCAGCAACCGGCTATCCATGTTTATTTATAACACTTGCGAGAGTGTAAGATTTATTAGTGATTTACTTCTGTAAGATTTATTAGTGAACCCTGGCAAGTTCGCGCCTCCTTCCCATTGGCCTAGAGGTAACGCGGTTGCATTTGTATAAAAAAAATGGGGTTCGAGTCCCGACCACACTTTTTGTTTTTCAGTATGAATGAAATTGAGTTTTTTTTCGGGGAAAATTGAAATTGTTGGACTTTTGTTTGTTTGATTGTGTTTTGTCGGCTAAGTTGCACATCGGGGATGCTTTTTGTGATTTCAGCAATTTTCATTCTTGACGGAAGTGTATTTTATTTACTCTTCTACTTTTTAGTAGTAATAGCCCTGACGTTGTAGATTTTCCTTGGTTTTCTTTTTTGATTTGTTTTTCGCTTAAAAGTTTTATACGGCCTAACTGGTTTCAACCTATGTTTGTTTCGGCATAGATAACTTATTTTGTGTCGCTTCTAGAACAAAAATTGGTTGATGTTTTTTGACAAACTCAGGTAGTTTGTGTTGAAAATTTTCAAAGTTACAAACTTAATCAATTTTTTTAATTGAAAAGAATGTTTTATGGTATTTTGTTTTTGGTTCGGCTCACTTGTTTTCTGCTAAATGGCCTGTGGGTAAATTCTAAAAGCTTATTTAACACTTGTGGCTGTGTTTTCGGCAGTTTTTTTGAAATTAACTTTATTTTTTTCCATTTCTTAATTTTGTTATTTCTGTCTCATTATCTATTCGCAAGCTTACAATGCTGCGCTTGCGTTGTATCGCAAGTTATGCGGGCCTCCGCTTCGCCTCTGTGGTAAATTACGCTGCAACGAATTCTCGTTTATTGGAAAGCTACCAAGAGTCGCTGGGACAAAATGTCACATCACTGCTTGACGCAAACATTCTATGTGAACCATAAGTGACGAGAAAACACCAACGAAATCAATATCTTTACAGATCCTGATTTGGTGTTACTTTGAACATAGCTAGTGATAAAAACTACTTTTGCGACATAACAAAAAGTAACAAAGCTAAAGCTATTAACCTATTATACAAGAGAGTAACAACTTTTTTCTACAATGATCTGAATTGCTCCATTGTCGACTTTTTTGTCGTTGATATGTTTTTTTTTACTTCACATTTAAAATTCAACTAACCGAATCGATTGTGCCCGAGTTCTTCCTGGCCTCGACGCTGGACGGGACCAGCTGCTTCTCCTGATAATCCTCGCACTGTTCGGACAGCTGCTTCTCATGTGACCTTGACCTGGATCGAATCAGGTTTGTGAATTTGTTCAAAGTTGAGCTGTTGTTACTATTGTTGTTATTGTTGCTTCGTTTCTTTCTTCTTGGAACCGACATCGTAGAAGCAGGCGAAGTGGTCGCAGGAGTGGCTGGATTTTCCTGGATGTATCCACTGCTGATTCCTGGAATGACACGAGTGTTCTGGATCATATTGAATGAAATGTAAATAAAGCAACCTTCCCACAAATAATTTAACAGAAAAGAGTTTTTGTTTCAAATTTCTGGTTCCAAATGGATTTGAGGTTTCGTCTCTCAAAAACAAGTTTAATTAGTGAGATTTTTTTTATTTCAACAAGTCAACAAGTGTTGAAGAAATCCTTGAAATGATCGGTAATAGCATAAAAATATTGTCAAATATTTCCCTGTTGAAAATTTCACCCTCCTCCCCCAAATTTACGAATATTGACTGACCTATTGATGTTTCGCTCTGTGTGATCTTCAACTTGTGTTCTTTGTGAGTCACAGGATAGTCCAATGTCTTACACGTGCTGTCATTATCCTTCCAGGATCCAGCTATAGACAGGGAACAGTCACTGTTCCTCACATTGAAAATACTCCCCCCTGTTCTGTCCGGGGTCTGGGGGGTAACTGGAGTGGGTGGGGGGTCAGTGGAGGAGGATAGTTCATGAGCTGTGTTTGATGACGTCATATGAGATGTCTCCGGATGGTAAGAAGTGGATGCTGAACGTGTGTTACCGAGAGTCATTGTCTGGTCATTCTTCAAGCGATCTTCTGCGAACAGTTTTATGTCAATTTTATATCTATTATTGTTCCGACTTTCGATACGAAAGTAACGGAATACTTGTGCTCGGGGTGGGTTTTTTTCTCTTCAGACAAATTTCGACTTTTTAACTAGCCATTTTTGACGGAATTTTTTTATATCATTCGAAAGCTATTGTTGTCCTGAGCTTATATTTGAAAAGATATTTCACCTGTGATCATTTTTCGTGAAGTTATGAGGGTTTAAAGATTGCCATTTTGACCAATTTGGGACAATTAACGCGCGATATAATTCGCGCTATTAACGCGTAAGCGGAGATTTAATCCGTCTTAGAAATCGTTCCAAATTGGTTGAAAGAAGCTTATTTGCCATAATTGATTTGTTACAATGAGCGAAATCTATCCTTTTGTACTTTATATGGCGTGTGGGGGGATGATTTTCATAAAAAATTTCAAATTTTAGAATTTTTTTTTCATTTTTATTACATTTTATTAAACAGTAAAAGGCAGTCGGAACATTCAGGGCTTCGCCCTGATACGAGCATCCTTGTTAGTTATTAGGCACGATTCTAGTTGAATTCAATATTGTGCATTTTTTGTTTCATGTTTCAAATTTAATTTTTCACTTACAACTATACCTTAATTCCAAAAACGGAATTCTAACTTATCTGAGATTTCTCGCTGCCATGAGCTATTTGTCATATTGACTGACCTATTGATGAACTATGACATCACCAAAAATTATTGACAAGTTTTCTGTTTCGACCACTTCACAAAGTGGGAAGTAACTGTGGAATAAGGTTGGCGCTTGTGCCGAATTTTAATTTCCCCAACAAAAGCTGGTAGCAAGCCCAGGGTGGCATTCTGTCACAGCGCTATTGGCCGTGATTCAGATTTCAAAAATAATGAAAAACTGTCGAGAAAAACTAGTCCGCATTTCTTGACAGAGAGGAAGAACGTTTTATATTTTGATTTTACGCATATAAATGGTCTCATTATGTATTTTTAGAACCGCATTTCAACGCGCGGTTCAATAGCTAAAATACTATCAAGAGGGAAAACTCGGGGTGGTGAGGGGGTCGCATCTCCTTAAACCCGTCCCTAATTCTATGCGATCATTGTTTTTTGTATCTCAAAATAAAGTGATGTTTTCGTACAAGAGTCTCTAATTCTCAATTTGTCTGTGTAACGACCTCACTTGGAAACAATTTTTTGTGATTATAACTCACTTTTGGTGTTTGACTCCTTAAAAAAGGAGAATATATGATGTCTTTTCTTTTGCGACTGCTGCGACGACGAGTGAGTACGCCCCGAAGACACTGTACTCGCCGTCGAATGTCTCGGGGATGAAGACACACCCCCTCGTGCCCCTCCCCCTATGCCCAGATACATCCTGCGATCTAAGGAGGAAGACGTAGTGGGCTGGTTTATATCTGACTCACTGCCTCGCTGTTCCGAGGTCCCCTCTAGCCGGATGTCGTGTTCCTCCAGTTGGTGGTTGAGGGGGTTGGTGTTGCTGCGATGGATCACCTGAACAAAATTCACACGCTAATGCCGTGTCTAAGTAAAAAGCTGATAGCGACGGACTTTCCGTGAAGTGTAAAGCACTTCGTAGCTTGGCACAACTTTTTTATAGTTCAAATCAAGTGAAAACACAATAAATCTATCTGCAAAATTAGAACTCTGTTTTGACTGAGAATACATAACTTTTCAAAAACAAAGAATTAATCATGTTTTTTTAAAATATAAATGGATATTAATCAAAAAGGCCCAAAATTTTGTTACATTTTTGGCTATCAAATAAGAGCGTTTGCTTTCGTGTTTACCTTCATTTTGTGTCTGTCTGATAGGCTGTTGTGGAAAACTGACTTCTGTTTCTTCTGGTACTTGTTACCCCCTCCCGCTGGAAGTGAGGATGAACAACTACTGCCCCCATCCCTCTCCCTTTCAGACCCACTCAGACTAGGGTACTTGAAGTAGCTCTGAAACATGCCAACAACCGCTGATAAAACAACTGTAAATCGGCCTATAGAAAAAAAACGAACATGTTTCAAACTTTCAAGAACAACACACGTATCTGTTAAATAATCACAAAATAGCGACACCCGTTCAATCACAGTCAATGAAAGCAGTTCCGAATCTTATACAGTTTATTTGCGTGTGACCCTTTTTTTTCTGTTTATTTGCGTTCATTGCGTTCACTCTTTTCCAACCATCTGTTGGCTATGTTCATACTTGCTTCTATTTACTGAACCAGCTAGAAAATTACTGTGCGATTGATGGCGTGTCGACGAGATTTATCGTTCCACTTTACCAATTATATTAATTGATTAGCTTAAAAAAACTCGACGAAAATATGAAATGAAAACTTCTCTGAAAACCAGATTTTTCTCCACCCTGATGTTGTAATTGCTACTATTCATAATGAAATTTTTTCGACGCCGGAAATTATTCGAGTTTTAAGTGTGATAGTCAAATTTAGACAAGTTTTGGTTGAGACTGTTACCTGTGTTTCGGATAGATTGTCGCTGTTGTTGTTGTGGGGTGTGTCTATGTTGATTGCATATGTGGCACTAGCAGGAGTGAAGAGGGGGTCTGTGTCTGTGTCGAGGGACTTGCTCTTCTGCAGCTTCTTACTGTCCACCCGACTCAACAGAGAACTAGTCTCACTCGAATCATGCTTCCTAAAACATGCAATATTTTGCCAATATCTGCCAATATTTTCATGTTTTCACATTTTAATCGAACGGAAAGAGGAAATGGTTTAAACTGTTTTCCGTTCTTGCTCATCATAGTTTTTTCTAGCATCTTTCCATAATGGATTGAAGGTTTTAGTGAACAAATTGTTCAGAATAATTACTGCTTTCAGATTAATTTTGGATTTTTTAACCTTTTGGAAATGCTGAGTTCGAGGAAACTTTCCATAAGGTTCTCCAAATCCTGCTCCACCTGAAAGAAAAACAGTATTTAGGGGAGGGCATTATAAACTGATAATTATTGCTTCAACAGCTCAGTAGAAACTGATTTTGAAGTAACAGCGTGTTAAAGTAGTGCTTAAACTTAGAAGTCTGCCAAATTCTAGAGCCTTTCATCAGAGGTCAACATATTACATGTTCTGTCCTGTAGGTTTGTCGTAGACCAGTAACATAAAATGGGAAAAACTCCTTACCTTGGCCAACTCTTTATCATCAAATTGTGTAGCATTTGGGTCATCTTGTTTCTCAAAAGCATAGGCTTCCAGTCCGGACATCTTGGACCCCTTTTCGGAACCAATGTCTGTTAACCTAGAAAATAGGTTCATTGAGTACAGGATACAACAGAACACCAGGTTAAGATAACTACCTATTTCTACAATTGAAAAATTTTTGTAATACTTATTGAACCCGGAAAGTTACACGGTTACGCTTCATAACTGCTATCTGCACGTAGTTGGTTTCTATTTTTAAAAAACCACTGGGTATGTAGTCTAAGAATACCACAACAAAATCAGTTTAAGAATCTCGTTGGTTGGTTAATAATCATTCCCGCCTTGAATCTCAATGCTAATATCCGTAACATTAACCTCTTGAGTCTGTTGGTCTCAATCTGCAGTTCGTATATCTTGGACCTGTCTGAGAACTTGGTCAGATCCAACTCGGCATTCTTCTTCATCAACTCCTGCTTCTCACTCTGCCACAGTCGCTGCTGCTTCGAACAGCCCTCAATGGCCGTCTTCAGCTGCTCATGCACCAAGTCCACATTACGCAATTGGCCCTCCAGCTGAAAAAAAAACATTTACGTAATTGTAATTTCTTATAAAGACCTAGATTGAATGCCTGAAGATTAAGAGTGCAACTTGCACTATGAAAAAAGAACAGCATTTTCGTCGAAAGAATTTTATTTGGAGGAAAATCAAACACTCTTTTGACTGTCGTGCCTTTTTATTAATAAGTTTACACGGACTTCTATCCTTAAATTTTGATCAAAGCACGACCTGATTTATGGGGGCGAAGATTAGCGGGGGGGGGGGGGCTTTACTACCGCTGCTTTTTTGGATTTTTTTGGAAATACTCATCGAATATGTACTAATCGCATTTCAATTCAGATGTTTAATTCAAAGTTAAAAAATGTTTTTCTTAAATTTGGGCTGTGTTTTTCTTTGTCATTGTATACAAACAGCTGCCTGAAAAGGAACTGTGAAATCCATTTACCTCGTTGATCCTGGTCATCAAGTTCTGCTTTTGCCTCAACTTCTCCTCCTTCAGACTGGCGATCTGTTCCTCCAGCACCCCCACCTCCCCCTTCCTCGCATTCTGACTCTTCTCCATCGACACCATCAGTTCCTCATTCACTATCCGCAGCTCCCCCACCACGTCCAGCATGTTGGGGTCAGATGTGGAGGAGTGGAGTAGGAGGGATGAGGGAGGCTGGTGGTCCCAGTTCTCAATGTTTCGACTGTTGCGGTTCTGCAGATACAAGGAAATATGACAACTATTCAAGAGTTTTAGAGAAAAAGGCATGGAGACCTTGACCTCGAAAAAAATCCTGAAATTTTCAAACAAAAATTCCATTGTTTGGACGTTTTTGAAATTATTAAAAATGAATGTATAACTTAGACCTAAAGCGCAAACTAAAGAATTGTTCAAACACCGCTATTATTTTTTCCAAGAGCATTTAAAACTCGTGCACGATTCGTTTACGATAATAACTTGCTCTTATTTGAACAAATAAAAGGATAAAATACCTGTTTCTGGTATATCTTGAGGGTGTTGGTGTGTCTGTTGAAGATATCCACCACCCGTCTCTGCTCTGCCATCAACTTCTGGTGCAGCTGCAGACTCTCCTGCTGCTTCCTCTGCAGTTCGAACTCCAGTTTACTCAACTGTTGTGTACACGTGTCCAGGGACTCCTGTTTGTTCCTGGACTCTCGCTGGAGTGCCATCATCCTGGCCCGGTTCTCCTCGATGTTTCTCTGGGCTTCTTGAAGCAGGGCTGATTTGGTATCCAGCTGACGTTCTAGGTCCACTTTTTCGGCCTGTAAATCATTGTCAAACTTTTATCTTGTAGTTGTGAATAATTACTTTGCTAGCCATCAGACTTCGAACAGTGTCAATGAAATATTAAAACACCTGTAAATGTAATTGTAGGGCTTGATAGTTCTAGGAATTTAAAGAAAAGCCTATTGAAAAACTCTCTTTATCAATTTTTGCCTAGATGACGGGTCGATTCCGGCACTTAATTTGCCTTTTCCTTCCTTTTTTCCAATCCTTTTAGAGTCATTTTTTTGGGTTATTGCCTGTGTTTGCGAAGTGTAACAGCGTAATTTTTGTTGCAAACATAGACGTTTTTATGTTTGTATTAACTTTACCTGCAGTTGACCAATGAGATGTTTGCTGGTGACTATCTCTGACTCATACTGCAGTCTGGACTCGTGGAAGTTCCTTCTGCACTGCTCCAGAAACAGTTCGAACTTACTCTTCACTCCTTCTAGAACTTTCTTGCTCAGTTTCTCTTGCTCACTCAACTTCACGAGGAGAGATGATTCCTCTTTCTTTAGTTTGCAAATTTCTTTTTCCTGTTCTTTGGTCTGAAAAAAAAAACAATTGAAACTTCTTTATGTATAGGGCCACAATCATTATATCAAGAAGATTTTTAGATAAGTTCTTAGATAAGTTGCCAAAATGCCGATTTTAAATGAAGTCTCTGATCTAAATTTTGCGTTTTTGAAGTAATTTTGCATGCAGTTTTTGTCGTCCCCCAAAGCTGTACGCATAGTTCTTGCTTCATATACCCTTTTCCACCGTAATTTATATCGAAGCAAAAAAATTACGATCGAATTATAGTATTTAGAGACAAAAAATGGTAAAATCTTGCACCTTTTTGATGAGTTTCTCCTCGGCTTTAGTTCTTTCCGCCAACTTTTCCTTTACGTCCTTGACCTCCTGTTTCAAGTTCTCAATAGTTTCACTATCTCTATTTTGCCTCTCTTCATTCATCTTCTTCATTTCTTTCAGTTCACACTGCAGAATGGCCAGTTGTTTCTTCAGCTCTCTCTCTTTCTCCTCCCACTGTTGCTGGTTAGTCCTCAGTTGCAGTTTGGCTTGAAAAGAGGGAAATTTCGACGGTAAACCAGGAAATGAGTGAAATTAGTCTCATTTAGTAGAGTTTCATTCGTCATTTCCTTTTCATGTCAACCGATACCAACTCGATTTTTCAATTATGCATACAAACAACAAATTGCAGCTTGAAATTATGACTCCGTCGAAAACTCAAGACTCTTTAATATTTTTTTGCTCTGTTTTGCTTCATAATTATGGCAAAAACACTTTGATAGTCATGAGGGCACAAAAAATAACGATAAAATTTTTTTCTCTCTTATTTTCACTGAGAGAAAAGTTTTAAAAAAATACTGACTTTGCTGAAGCATGCTCTTCTCGTCGTTCTCGCGTGCCCTGTATCTCTCGTGTAGTTTGTTCACCTCCCCCATCCACTCGTGGAATTTGCCCGCCAACTCCCCTCCCGACACTTGTTCGGCCAATTTTCCCTTCAGGAACGAGATCTGCGTCTGACACTCTGTCAATTCGTGAAGAATCGATTCCTGAAAAAAAACACAGTCAAACTAATACAAAATTGAACTTGTTGCCTTTATTTAGAAAAAATTATTAATAATTTAACGAATAAATGTACAGTCACAGGACATAGAAGTTGCAACTTTTTGATTTCAACGAAAAAATGGACAAATTTTCTCTTCACGTTTTGTTCTTTTTCTCTGCAACTATTAAAGATACAGAGTTCTTGGGAGCTTGTACCAGAAAGTTGGACAAAATTTCAAAAAACAACACATCTAGTAATGAGACACCTGTATTCAGATTGGAGCAGTAGTTTTTGCGAATTATTTCTGCCGGAATGGATTTTTTGTTGAATGATTTCGTTCATCAGCGCAAAATTATTCTTAAAGTTTTAGCCGTTTTCATACGCCGGACCAAGTAACTCTATTAATTCTGTCATTTTTCACTTTTAGGCAACATAACGAGTAAGTCATACATGCTCATCAACTTCCTAAAGAACTAATTTGAGCGCATAAATTCAACTTTTCTATATTGTTTGCGAGGTTATTTCCACAGAGGTTATTTCCACAAGAAGATTTCTAAAACTAGTTATGATATACTGGCCAAAATGGTCAAATCTACAATCAAAATACGTATAAGCTATGTTTTAAAAGGAAGAAACCCATGAGAAAGGAGCAAGTCCGACTGTTTGAGAATTTTTTTAGTCTATAACATTGCGACCCGATATTTCAACGAAGTCATTGACGACAAAGTCACTATCCGGATAAAAAAGACTTTAAAAGTGAAATATTTCGAAAATTTTGGTTGCTTCAACCTACGAAGCAGACTTTTCATAAAAACCATGCAGGCTGCTGAACTTGAAGATATTATCGAATTTTGAAAAATTTGTACCAAGTCGATCAAAAAAAATCTAAGATCTTCTTCAATTAGTTTGTAGCATTTTGATAACAAATTGTAATACAGTCAGCAAGTCAATGACAATGTTCCATTCATGACTCGTGTAAATTATGTTCTCATAATTTTGGAAAGTCGTAATGTCTAGAACCTACACCGTGTAACCACATCGCAAACTCGAGACCCCGCACGATCGTTAAAGGTTAAACTTCACCGAAGACAATTCTCGGTCATTGTGCCGAAGGTAACTTAAAGTTACACTTGAAATGTTTACTGCTCAAATTAAATGCGCAAGCTCAAAGAAGCTAGGTGTCTGCTCATTTTTGCTAGTGAAAGCTTTTTCCCAAAACCATTTTTTATGCTCGAGTTTTGCAATAAAACGGTCATTTATCCAGTTCATCTTTTTCACAAAACTTCTTCATCTGTGTTTCACCATTGAACAAAGGCCATAATTAAAATTTTCGAGGCTAGTAATAAAATAAGCGTTTTCGTCAAACCTGTGGGAATTTAGTTCAAATTTTAGTTGTAAAAAAATCCGTGAACTAGCCTTCTCTTGAAGGAATTTGTTCTCCCTTTCCTTGAGTGTCTTGGTGGCCTCCGACTCCTTCCATTCCCTCCAGCAGAGGTTCTCCGTCTCCTTCTCACTCAACTCCCGCCGCAGACTCTCCCGGTCACCCCGCAACTGGCCGATCTCACTCTCTAGCACAACAAAATATAAAAAATCTTTTAAATCTTTTTATTAAAGGTATTAAAGTATTTTAGTAAACGCTAAGAAGGTTATACTCGATCGAACTGATTAATATACTAAGTGTTCAGGCTTAATAAATTCGTGCTATTGTTATGATCTTGATTAAGACATGCATATGCCTTTTCTTGGTTATTTCAACACGGAAAAAGATTGAGTTCTTTTTTAAATTTTTTTCCCGAATTTAAATGGCAATGATGAGAAACAGACGTCCTTAAAAATCATTTTCAATTCAAATGTGTCAAACTGACTTACCTAGTTTGTCCACCATAGATTGAGTCTCCAAATATTCTCGTTCCAGCTCCTTTAATTTCTCTCCACTACGGCGCTCTGATTTTGAAGTCGTTGAGTGCGATATCTAAATAGATCAAATTTGAAATATATTTAAGATGTGTTTACCTGGTATTTGATACTAAAACTATTTTGGCCGTGATTTGTGCGACAATTTTTTATAAAGTATATTCCCTTCGAAAACGAGCGGTTCAAAACTTTGCTTTTTTAATCGGGCCGATTTAGAGCACAAAGTCAAAAGTGGAGGACCAAACTAAGAAATCCGACCATTAAGCTGTACTTGTAGTTTTTCTACTTTTTTGAGCTAATAGTGCGGTAAGTTAAATTTCAAAATACCAACATTTTCTCAAAAAAAAGAAACAAAACATTCCAAAAGATTTTAAAAATATTTGATTTTATTAAGCTCAGGAAATTGTTGTTCCGACCATTGAAAATGGGGAGAAACTTTGTATTTGGGTATTTTTTAGTTTTTTTTTGTTTCCCACGCAAAATTAGGTACCACTAATAATCATCGGAATGGGTCGAGTCATATGTCATCTTACAGCCGTTTTAGTCGTGATTCGAACGACCTTTGAAATTTTTGATTTTTTGGTATAATTTTGAGCTAATAAGGTGTCCGTGTAGAATTACAATTGCTTATTTGAGCTTAATTTAAGCCGTGAAAACTTAGTTTTTTTTGTGCAATTTTGGGAATCAAAAAGTTCAAAAAAATTCAAAAATTTTCTGCAAAAAAATTTGAAAAGATTTTTTAAAATAATTTTTTCGAGTTTTCTAGGAACTTTTCTTCAAAACCTTTTGTCCGATTTGCCTATGTTACTATGACTGTCTAATATGCCTAAATTATATTGTTACATCAATTTTTTTTTATCACACGAAGTAAAAAAAAAACTACACTCAATTGGAAAAAATTTTCTAAACCGTAGTTTTCTAAAGACCATGGTCGGAACATTCTGTGCTACTTGCACAGTAACCGGCTATCCTTGTTATAATTTGAAAGTTTTTGGTAAATTGATACTTACCTTAACAATTTTCTTCATGCAAGTATCTGACGTTAGTGTAAATCCAATTAAAAACTTTGGTTGAGAAATCTTAAAACTATCATGGGAGCTTTGAGTTTTTTGAGAATCTAATAAGCAAAATGATGATTGTTCCGACCATTGCAAATGGGAATGAAGTTTTCTTCGGGTGTGTTCTTAAGAGACGAGGAACGTTGTTAAGACTCTTAAACAAGTCCCGATGTTTTTTTAGTTTTATTTCAGGGAAACTTGAAGTGTGCTAAAATATACAAAAAAAGGCATTCATACAAATTAATGCATTTATGAATGCCCTTAGGTGTCTGTACAGTTTTTGAGTTCAATTCAAATTCATTTGGTAGAAGGTACTCAGAGTTCGCTCTCCAATTACAAAAAAAATGACGTGACAAAGCCTGATCGATTTTTAGTTTCGAAAGCGGAATTTAACTCGACTTTACTGCGGAAAAAATCTTTGCCTCTCAATCACACAATCAAATCAAAACACGATTAGTGCTATCACAAAATGACTGCAATTTATGATTGGCACACTCAAAAAAGTATCAATCACAATTTTTGGGAAATTCAAAAAACAAAGCAAATAATTTTTTCTTTAAAAATTGAAAATTGTCAAAATTTTATCAAAAAGTCCGTTTTTTTTCTGTTTTTCTTTGGGTTTATTCACTACTTTGCAACTGTCTGTTGGCTTTTTTAATTTCTCTTTTTTGTTGTTTTGCAAAAAAAATTAGCTATCTCATAATTATGAAAATGAGCTGAGTAATATATCTTTTTAGAGCAGTTTCAGTCGTGATTCAAAAATTTTTCAAAAGTGTTCTGTGTCGAGAAAACGGTTTAAAATTTATTACTTTTATTCTACTTTTGAGCAAATAAAATGAACAAAATGGCTTTTTGTACGCTTATTGTAGAAGCCATGTAAATTATATTGAGCCTAACTTTGTAACAGTAAAGTAGTTTTCGAAAGTTCGTTAAAAATAAAACATTTTTAAAGGGTTCGATTTTGGAAAAAAATTTTCGATAATTTTTTGATTTTTTAAAAATGTTTCACTTTCATTTTTTGAAAAAGTTATTTGTTAAATACTCCAAATTCATGAATTTTATCGAAAACCTTCAAGTTTTAAGGCTTTTCTTCAGACCCTTTTCTTACCACACCACGAAAAAAAAAAACGACACAGTTTGAAGTATGTATATGTCTAAATGCTTATAAAATCTTCTTGTTTATTTTGATACTGATAATTTGATGATTCACAATCTTGTTTCATACTTTTCTGCAGTGGTTTGTGAGGTCAAAAAAATAGTCATTTCCGACTGAGCTAATGTAGCTTCAAGTACGGAGCACTGGCGAAGTGGACGAGCGGTGGTGAATTGGATAAGGTATCGTACTGATCATTTCCGCCATGGATAAATGGCCTCAAACTTCTGAACTCTTCTCACCTCTAGTTCGTCGGCTGATTCTGCTCCGTCGGATAGAGTAGCAGCCTGATGAGACTGAACAGATGACATCACTGCTTCTAATTCTTGTTTCACCTTTTCTAACTCGAACTGCAGTTTCATCTTCTCCTTCTCAGACTCCCGCAGCCTCACACCCACTTCACACATTTCCTGTTCAATCTGAAACATAAACGAGTGTTCCGATGGTTCAGATATTTTAAATGCAAATAAAAGCGGCTGTCCCCTCTACTAAGAAGGCCATGGCATATGCTGGATGTGGCAGTATCGAACACTTTGTTAGATGTACTTTTTAAGCTTCGCTGATTTGAATTTTAATGCGCCGTTTGATGAGCGACAAAAGTTTCTCGTCAGTGTGCGGGTTTTCAGGTGAGGTTTTTAAATGAGTTCATAAATTTTTTATCATAATATTCCAAGAACGTGTTTTTATATAACACAACGCTTGAAGTACCGTTATTTTGTAATATCTTGTGCATATATCAGTTTATCAGAAATGAACAAAAAAAACAGATTCAAAAGTGTTGGCGTTACACAAAAAATGCTAATTTAAAGGCGAAAATGCATAATGGTGGACGACGTCTAGACAGTGAAAAAAAATCAATTGTGTTAAAAATTTTAAAATTTTAAACTTTCAAATTTTTCAAGGCTGATTTTAGTTTTATTCCGTCATTCGGTCATTCTGCCAGCAGTCATCCCCGATGAACCTACCTTCCTGTGTTCGGCACTCCTCGCCCTCTGCACCTCCTCCAACTTCAGCATCAGCTTCTCCTTCTCACACGCCCACTGCTGTCTCTCCGCCCTGAAGGCCACGTCCTGGTCACTCCTCTCCCTCAAAGATTTCACGAAGCGCTGCTGCAGTTGTTCACGCTCCTTCTCAACCAGTTCGTTGCTCCGTTTCTGCTTCATGATCGCCTCATCCAGCTGAACCAGAAACAATCATCTTTACTTTGCTTAATGAACTATTGCTTCTCGAAGTTCTAGATAGGTTCGAATTCTGAGTGAGATGTTTAACGGGACTCTCAATACTCAAAACTAATACATGTATTAGAGAAGCTGTTCAATCGAATTTTCCCCGAAACATTATTTTTCAAGAATTCTCTTATGAGCCTATGTTAGCTTAGCTGTATGAAGAAAACCCAGTGTGGCAATTTTTTCTCCAGATTTTATTACGTTCTCGTTAATATTTATCTTTCCTACCAAAGCATATAATCAGCTCTTAAGTATCATTCATTACTCACCTGTTCGACCTTGAAGTTGAGCTCATCCACCTGTGCCCTGTACATGTCCGAGTCATTCTCCAACCTGTCAATCTCACTCTCCAAGTGGGCACAGTGCAACTCCAGGTCCTGTCTCTCCCAGCACTTCCCCTCCCCACCGCTTGGTCCTGCGACCACCATCCGCTTGGGTAGGAAGTTGGGCGAGGCTGCTCTGGACCCTTGTCTGGATCCAGGGGCAGACAGGAGGAGGGAAGAGGGCACTGGCTGTTGCTGGTTGGGGGATTTACTGGACACGGAGGAGGGGATAGTGAGAGGAGCTAGTCGTTGCTGGAAAACAAGTTTAGCTGAAAACGCGTTCAAAACAGCAAACAATTTTTTGTAAAAATAACACCGATTTGATGACAAAGTATGCTCATTGAACATAAACGTGTATGGCTTAATTAAAGTTCGATAGTCTCGCTTTCAAAAAATTACGTTATTGCTTAAATTTACAGGTGTGTATTTCCTTGCATGTTTAAATTTTCCTGATTTTATGGCTCCGTTTTCTGTAAAAAAAAGGACATGTGAAAGGTCAGCAGGTTGATTTCATGAGCTTTTTTTGATACTGATAATAATGACAGAACCCACCACAAGTATTTCGCTGTCTGGATCCTCTCTCTCATCGGCACTGTTGGGATCAGAGTGGGTGCGAGTGGGGGAGTCCAATACCAGAGAGGGAGGGGTCACTTCTCGACTGAGAGGGGGCAGGACAACACGTCTCTTACTCTCCATTGAAGACATCTTTGCCTCTAGATCCTACAACGAAAAATTAACTGGACATGTTCAACAACAATAGGTTGAAAATAATATCCAAACAAGAAAATATTCGTAAAGTTCAAATTGAAATCGGAAAGATTTTTTTGAGAAACAAACAACATTACTTCGGGAAAAATGGCTCAAGTCGTTAAAAACACTTCAAAAACTGTTTGAAAGTAAACACTTTGCTTTATTTTCTTTAATTATCTTTTCAAAATATATAAATAAATCAGGGTCACTTGAAAATGGTTTTCAGAGAAAAAATGCGTTTTTCAAGTGTTGGATGGAGGAAGAATTGAGGGCTTACGGCAATTTTGTTTTCCAGCATCTTCTTGTCCTTGTGCCATGTCTTCTGCTGCATCTTGTGGTGGAACTCACAGCTCTCCTTCTCAAACTTCAGCCGCTTTTCCACCTTCTCTTTCTCCTCCTCTACCTAGAAATACAAACAACTGTTGATTCAAAAGTTAAGCCATAAAAATCATGGAGTCACTTCTGTTCAGCTTTTGCATTATGTAATTATCATCACTGAAAAATCAGCCTAAGAGAAAAATCAATCTCAACAAAAGCTTAAGAAGAATGTAATTTGCAAATCACAAAGCATACTTTTGAAAACCTTTTTTTGAGGTAGAGTTATAATGTTACTTAACTTAAGCGTACTTAAATAACAAATTGATTTCCATTCGGATTCGTTCTTACCTCTCTGAGAATGTTCTCAAGGTCGGAGACGTCTTGTTCAGTCTTCTTCCTCTCCACTTCGTATTTGTTCACCATCTGTTCATACTTCTCCTGCATCTCACTCACGACACTGCCAGCAGGCATCTAGCAAACAGAAAAAATAAAAATTAATTGTATTGACACTGATTATAATGACCCATCATTGAAAATAGTTGAGAAAAACAACAAAATTTTTTTAAAGTCTTCTGCCATTTTTTAGGAGAAAAGGCAAAATTTGAAGACAAAATATAATCTAAAACGATTGATGAGATTTGACTCTCATGCCTGATAGCAGCTATTAGTATCTCGCTCATAATTTAGTCAACAAAATGAAAAATTTCACATCCGTTTCAGTTTATAACTAAAAGGGCGTCAAAATGAGACCAAATTCGATCTCCTGTGAGTGTTCTTTTTAAAGGGAATAAATTCTTGCATACGTCAAACTTAATGTTCCGACTATTGAAAATGGGGAAGAACTTTGTATTCGGGTGTGCTCTAGTGTTTATTTAATTATTTTCTAAATAAATCAGTACCACAAAGAATCATCGGAGAGAGTTGAGTGGTATATATCATATTCAAACCCTTTCAGTCTTCAGTCGTGATTTGAACGACAGTAAAAAAAGTCCAAAAAAAATTCTAGTTTCGAGAAAAAATAGTTTAAAAATTTTGGTTTTTAGTTTAATTTTGAGCAAAAAACACGATCGAGTAACGTTCCTTATATGGAATTAAACAAATAAAAATAAAATTTGTAAAAAAAAATAAGAAAAAAATGATAAATTTTTATTTTTTTCGATTGCTTACTTGGTATTTTTTTGAAATCAAAATTTGTCGATCATGCCTAAATCATGTCGACCCCACCCAATAAAAACGACACAAATTTGAAGAAACTTTAAAAAAATCGGTTTTTATATGAATTTTGTCGGAACATTCTGTGTTACTTAACCAGCAACCGGCAATCCTGATTCATTTTTTAGAATTGCCGTTCTAACATGTCTGCTTTTTTTCAAGATTTGGAGCACATTGGTTTCAAAATTGTCGGGGAGTTTGGGAAAATCAATGCGCGATTTATTTTGTGCTTTTAACAATATCAACGACCATTTGATGCCGCTTAAAAATCATTCCAAATTAAATTGAAGCAAGCTAGTTGGATTAATTAAAACGTTACGACACATGTTTTTTGACAATTTGACCAATTTTTAAATAGTTATTTTTTGTCCAAAATTCGGAGTCAATTTTTCAAATATTTTTAAAAAATAATGGCTGTTTAATTAGTGTTAGCTTGACCAATTTAAGACAATCATTGAGCGATAATTTTTATGCTATTAACGCTATTAGCCATAACTTAACGCACTAGATGCATTCTTTTGTACTTCACATGACTTTTGGGGGGAGGGAAGTGTTCTAAAACACTCTAAAATGTAATGCATAGTATTTACAGGGCGGTGCAATCTACAGGGCTTCGACCTAACACGAGTCTGTTTTCAAATATAAAATAAAATCAATATAACTTTCTGTGAAGCTTTCGTTGAGCTTAAGGTGCCAAAGCTTCTGCCTTAACGCAAGCTTGACTATCATCTAGTTTTGTGATCAGCTTTTCTTTTTTTTGCTCCTGCTTTTGCGCTAAACCAACCTACTTTTTCAGGAAAAAAAAGTTTATCAGGTTTAAAATGAAATTGATTATTGCCCTTGAGCAAGGGTGTTGCAATAGGGTACCAGACCTGTTTTTGAAAGAAAAATTTTGTTCACAGGATGACTTTGGTGAAATTGGTGGTCAGCGAACAGTTTAAAGCAAATTTTTGGCGTATCTACATTTCAAATGCACGTTCTATTTGAAATTTGTATCTGATTTTGATGTTGAAATACCAACTCCGATTCCAGTATATCAGTTTTTGGCTCTTTTTCCTCCCCCCCCCCCCCCCACCTGCAAATTTTTATATTTGAAAATACTGTTCACTTTGGCCGATTGTCGTGAAAATTGACATGCAGACTAATTAGGCCATAACAAGCATATATGGTCTTCATAATGAACCTTGTAAAACTACTCGTTAGACCATAAAATTCATGTTTGAGTGAGGTGGGGGGGGGGGAAGGAAAAAGAGCCCAGTTTTTTTTTCGCTTTTATTTGATCTTTTCTGTCGTAATTGGGCTTTCGGTTTATAATATGTCGGTTTAAAAAGCTTCTTTTTCAGTCGTCTGAGCAGCAAAAAAAATTTAATATTTCGATCGAGGAGATTTTTGTCGAGGTTTTAAGTTTTTCTAATAACGTGTTTTTTTGGTAGCAGCGTGTGTCTGGTCATGATTTTTTTTCGTTTTTCGTCATACCGTTTTTTTTGTTTTTATGCTTAATTAACTATTTTTTGTCCTAGATTTTAGCATACTTCATTGAAAAAAAGTTCCAGTTAAAAGCAAGACAAAATAGGAAACTTTTGGATCAATCAAATGTTCGATATTTCTTCAAAAATAGTTTCCAAGTTTTTCTGCGGCGTTATCTCTCTTTCTGTCCGTTCATTTTTCAGGCTATGTATTTGTTGTATTCCAAGTAGTGCTAAATTTTGCTTCACCTCTGTTTGTGAAATTGTTAAAGGTAATTCAATTCCAAGATTTCGGTTTTTTGCAATTTTTATATATTTTTTGAAATTTTTTTTCTCAAAGTTATCTGCAAGTAGTGGAGTCATTCATTTATGTATCGCAAATCGTTCAAAGCTCTGCTTCGCCGCTGTGTCAGATTTTGTTTTCAGAATTTCATAATTTTTGTTCTGACCACAAACGGCAAAAAAAAACATTAGTTTTAGGCGCCTTTTTGTTGTGATTAGAGCTGATAATGCCAAAACTTTGAAAATTCTAGACACACACACAACAAAAATATATGAATGAAGTAACTCCTCATTTAGGTTATAGAGTTGAGTTAAAGCTTGACTGAATATTTTTTTGACTCCAAAATCTCAACGTCATTTAGAAAAGTTATGTTGCAAGCATTAAGCATTAAGTGCATATCAAAAGGCTGGTTATTTTTTGAGAGGTGTCATTTTCAAAATCTGAATCTTATTTTAATAGATACAAATTGAAAGTAAGAACTTTCAATCGTTGCAAACTTCGATCTTTAATTGGGCCTTTGCAATCAGTGTAAAACAAAATTGAACGTAGTTTCTACCATTTTTTTGTCAACGGAAGCAAAAATCAACAAAATAATCCAAATACTAAACAAGGTTAGCCGGCTGTTAATGCAATTGATTCAGAATAAGCCGGCCATTATAATTCTTACAAAAAGTTTCAAAATCTGGAGCACATTTTAAATAGAAAAAAAGTTGTTTTTTTTTTAAGTTATTATTTTTAAAATTTTCTGTGGTTTTTGATTTAAAAAAAGCCATTTTGCTAAGTTATAAGAATTAGAGCTAGTTATTGATTAAGTTTGACCTGACTTGGGTGTCATCAATTTGAGCTCAGTGTCATCAAATTTTGCTAAAAATTTCAATTTCTTAATTTTATTTGGAATGTGAACGTGGCTGAAAGAGCTTGAATATGATACTACACTTGAGCTCCTACGAGCTTTTCTGAGCTAATGAAACTGCGTTGAAGTGAAAAAAAAAGAATTATATTTTTAGAATCGGAAAGGCGTTAGATTCACGCCACAACTTACTAGTTTTTTCGAAGCCGGCTGGAAATTATGTGACGAAAAACTATCCCATTTCACTATTTTACAGTCTTGAGAACAAATTTTCCCCGAACTCAAATATACTTACAGCTGCGGGGTATTTTGCCCCCTTGGAGTGTTGTGAGTCATTAGTACCCTGGATTAGTCTGTCCATTCTATTCAGTGCATCTTCTGCTGTTCCCAATTGGTCCGATGAGTTTGCTGCGCTGCTGCTGATTGCTCCATCATCAGCAAAGTGTTGACCATTCTGAAATTGAACGGCTAGTAATCTCTTCATTTTTAATTTGAGTTATTGCAGATAGTAAACTGAGTTTTGCCGATCAGTTTGTCAAACTGTGATCGAAATTAGGTCGCCACCGAGGGGTTGTCTCAAAAGTGAGTCATATTGCACCGACAAAAGGTTAATTTCCTATAATAATTTCGACAACAAACCTATAATTCATCATGATCTGTTTTCAGGGAATTGTCTGTTTACGAGCTATATGTGTATGACTTTCTGAAAATTGGTATGCGTTTTTTAATTCGCCTTTATTCAACAACCTTTTTGAACAGCACGTTCATTCCGTTTGACATTTCAAATAAAACTAGGCGATCCAATAAATTGTCAGATCACTTTGTCAAAAACCATAAGTCACATTTACTGCAAAATCGGGGTTCAAAGCTGGCATGTTTACCGGCAGAGACTGACTTGCTACCTACGAACCTGGATTCAAGGGAAATATGGTATATGAGTTTTTGTTGGCCGACAATTAATCGAATGCCTTCAAAACACCCTGATAGTTTGTAAATCTTCCCTTATTGTTTGAACCCCCAAATACTGCTAGTGCTTGAGATATCATGTTTTTATCGAAATTTTGACATTTTTTTTAAAACTTGGGCTCTGCTTCATATACTTTTCTGTTAACTCTTTCCGATAGACTATAGCTATCGATTTTTTCATGTTTTTTTTTCAGATACTCTCAAAAATTTGTTTCTTGTTTACTGTACGAAGAGCGTGGCTCCACCCTGTGGCATTACTATAACAATGGTGCTAAAAACCACTAAATGTGCTGCCTGCAATCATGGATTTGAAATTTAATGGTCTTCAAAATATTTTCATTTATTTTAGTTTCGACAAACTGAAGTTATCATTTAATTTGCGCCAAATAACAGCCGAGTAGACCCTCATTTTATTCGCCCTTAGTCTATCATAATTTTTTCTTGGTTTCTTGCCTTCTTTTTTTCTTTCTTTCTCGTATAGCGCATGTCCAAAAACTGAGCAGAATTAGGCTAATTAAGCTAAATTTTGTTGCTTAAAGATAAAAGACGACTACTCTGGATTAAACATACCGGATTTTGTGTCTCTGCAAAAGCACTATGCGGTGGTGATAACACATGCTCCTCGCTCTGACCATCATGCTCGGCTGCTCTCGTTTCTTCGTCCGCCGAAAACGACAAATTCGCGCTTCTTCTCGTTTCGGCTCCCGAACTGGTGGCGCCTTCTCGTCTCGTAGACGACTCGTTGCTTGTAGTTACTCGTGTACCAACCAGTGGGGTTAAATGGGTTTTGTTTCCACTGCTGCCCGCGGGTAAACTTGACCGTTTGTTAGTCTGGCTGGGGAGCATTTGAGGGTTCTGGGTTTGACTCTCGACTGGGTTTTTGACTGACTGGGAATTGTTTGAAGTGGTCTCTACTGAAGCGAGGTTGTTTGTGTTTACAGAGCTGGCACCCAAACTGTGTTCTGAAATAAACAGGACGAGGGAGTTAACTGCGGTTAACTGGTTTTTTCTGGTTATAATTCGAACAAATTGGTTTTCAAACTGAGTTCAAATATTAAACAAAAAGCTTAAAAGCTCAACTGAATTACAAATTTAATCAAAAACCTTCAAAGCTGACAAAACTTAGAGGTTACTGAAACCAGTTGAGCTACAAATTTGAGTATGTTTGATCAAAAATTAAAATCTTTAAAAAAAAGATTTCCTTGATTTGATAATGTCAATTCTGAACTGGAATTTTAAAGGCTCAGTAAAATAGTTGCTCTTAAAACGAGAAGAGCTATCGTTAAGGACCCATTTCATGGCTCACATACAACTTGAGTGTTTTCTTGGAAATGGAAGTTCTTCAGTTTTGTACAAATTGTACTTCGTTTTTTTGGCAAAAATACCTCTCGTTCTAGTTTATGGGCGCCTTGATTTTATGTTCTATGAGGAGACAAGTTTAAATTGATCCAATGAATTAACCCTACAATTTCTCAATCAAATGCCAAAAACTGTGGAATTGGTTTTTGAAGTTTGCAAACAGCTTTTCAATTTAATCGAACAACTTAGATCGAATACAATTAAACAACACTTGCTTGATTTTTCAGTTCGCACCATGCCTCTTTTTCTTACGAGTCTATTTGAGAAAAGCGTAACTTATCCGTTTTTTGAAGAAAATGACGGAATACATACGCTCGGTGTTTTTTATTTTCATTACAGAAAAAATTTTTTGTCAAAAAAATCGAACTTTTGCTTCCCAAGCACGGATATACTTAAGAAAAAATGATTTTCGACGCTGAAAATAAAAAAAAGTTGCCCTCAATAATGTTTTCTAATTTTAAGTGGGGTAAGAAAATTGGCATTTTGTCCAATTTCAAATGATTATTGCGCGCTAAATTATTGCTCGATTTGAGAAAAAAATATATTAGGGCAAAACGTGCTTAAATTTTGACAGAATTAATATTGTGAAATTTTTTTTTCAGAAGTTGGGCCCAAAAATTACTAAAAAAATTGATATTTTGTGGCTTTTAGTTTGTCAAAAATTGCACTGAAGCGGCAGTTTTAATTGCTGTCAAAACAATTAAGGCAGCTTAAATTTGAGAAGGGCGCAATCTCCAAGAACTTGCACAAAAAGTTTTTTCGCAATGTTTTAAATTTATTTTTAAAACTAAAATTGCATTGGTGGCTATCAAACAAAAATATATTTTTTCAATAAAAAAATGAGAAAAAAATGCCCTTGTTAAACTTTGTTAGGCCACATAAAAAACTCACTTTGGTACAGTTTTGTCAGCAATGAAAGTGGCAGCTTTAGCGTAATTTTTGCTCAGTTTCATTAATTCTGCTCAATTTCTAAACAATTTTTGCTCTCCTCATAATGTGTCTAAAATCAACCCAATTAGGGAAAAGAGCGTTTTAAATTCCGAGTTTTCTTCTTGGCTGGACAAATTAAATTAGCACTGTAGGTTAGGCGGCGAATTAATTAATCTCTGAAAAAATTTGGTTTTTCATAACAAAAGACAGATACGGCAAAAATTCGTAACAGGCGACAATTCGTAACAGGCGACAGTTCGCAACAGGCGACAATTCGTAACAAGGCATTTGCAAATAGAATACTCTTGCTCCGCTTCGCTGCGCTGCGCTTACATCCAGCACGAGAGTAATACTGCGTGTGAATAAGTGTTCCACGCTTAATTGTTACGATTTGTCGCCTGTTACGAATTGTCACCCGTTATGATTTTTCGCCTCACGCAAAAAAAAACATTTTCCGCCACGCTAAAAGGCAGTTAGAACATAAGGCAGTTCTAAGGCATTGAAGCATCATTTTTTTTGTTTCCGAGTTCTTGTAGCGTATTTTTTTTTGATTTTTTGAAAAAACGTTATCTTAACATTATGAAGGGTCTATTCTTTTAATGGAGTGACTAAACGAAATTTTTAACCAATCAAAGTTGCGGTAACAAGCTCTCGTTCCTGAAATGTTTATGCGGAAACAGCTTGAGGTTCCTAGAAAAAATTCATTTTAAAAACTATTTTGAAAAATAACAACTTTGCAACCAAAAATCATCTTAGACGTGTTGATTTTTGTAAGAAGAATCACCTCAGACTATTCGAACATTCAGATTCCCGTTATCAAACTTTGTATATCTAGATTCAGCAACATACTATGATATCTCCCAGATCTTCACAGCCCCAGTAAGTAGCACGACTCTAACCGTTCGGATCTCAAAAAGAAAGAAAAAAGTGTCCACATCAAAAATGAAGTGAACACACTCTCTCAAGTAAATGAATGCTCTCTTCTGTTTCAATTGGTTTACTGGACTGCTCTTTACTTACTTTTATTGGCTGCAGCAAATGAGTTGTTCTGTTCGGTTGTCTTTTCTATGAGGAGGACTTTGAGGTTGGCCACGTGTGCGTTCAACTCACTGTTCTCCTCCTTCACCTCAGTCAGTTTAGAACACTGCGTCCGGTACAGAGTCACCTGTTAATCACCAGGACAAAGTTCGATAAAACAGCTTTAAATTAAGTTTCTACACGAAACTGAATTTCAAATCGGTTATGTTTTCTATAGCTGAAGCGAGTTCGAGTATCATTTCTGAAGATACTTCTGCCAAAAATAGTGGAAAAGTTAACTTCCGATTTCAAGTGTTTCAAAGTTTTTAAACATGCTAGCTCAGTTCTAAAGACCAGCAGCGGATGAAGTGACCCCATGTTTTGCAGTGTATTACCTCTTTCTGGAGCAGACTCTTCTCTCCCCTCAACACACTGATGGTCTTGTTCAGTCTCTCCTCAATCGAGTCCGCATCCCTCAGTCTGGACTCCAGACTGGAGATAGTCTGAAAAACAATCCAAATCATGATTACTTTCCAAGTCTCTATGATCTACAAGGTCCACTCATATTTACTTATCAATAGTCTACTAATTTTTTCTTTTATCGAGTTTTAATTGAAACTCATAATGAGAGTTGGAGAGTCTTTACCTCTAGATCAATCGCTGATTAGGTAATTTTTCGTATGTTGCTTTTTGAACCTTTTATTGAAAATTTAACCCCAAAATGACAATTGTTTTTTTAGCGCTCTCACCCTATTGAGACAGAGATGCGCCGCTAATTAAGCAAAAATTTGAGCTATTGAGTTTTCTACCTGCAGTTTGTCCTCTAGCTCGCTGTTCTTCGCATCCATGGAGTGTTTGAGCCTCTCCATCTCCAGCTTCATATGATTCACCTCCAACAGAGCATTCTCCAGTTCTGCTTTTACTCCTCCTGGTCTGCTTCTTGTCACTTCCGCCCTATCGCCTCCTACGCCTGAAAATACGACATCATGTAAACCTGTTTTTTTTTGTCAGTTTTAAAGTTTATGTAGCTTTAGAGCCTCGGTTCGCGCCCAAATTATTTCATTTCAGCAAACTGACTTCTACCCAGCATAGCTTGCATGTTTTAAGCCGGGAGCGGAAAAAAATTAAAGAACTAAGTCGTAAAAACTACTTTTTGAACTTTTTTCTAATAAGAAAAAAGTTAAGTACAAAAATTTTCAAACTTCATCTTACAAACGCAAATTTTTTGCATGTTTTCCATCTGGCTTTTTATGACGGGTGCAGTGTAAGCAACCATTTTGTCAAACATCAGAAGAAAAAAAACTGTTGCAACATTCAAAAAACAGATTTATTAGGGAAAACATCCGACATTTTTCAAAAAGTAGGGCAAAGATCCGTTTAACCGATGCAATAGTGATCGAATGAAGGCGATTCGTCGTTGTCGCGTGCGCTTCTTGCTATTTGCCAACAGAGGGTAGGAATCTATATGAAAACTAGAGACTGTTATCCGGCGACTTCAAACCGAGAGTACGCTAAGTTGGAGTCTGTTAATTGAACTACGTCTTGTATTTGAAATTCTAACGTCATTTTATTCCATAATTTTTATTTGAGTTCGGATGTTTGTACATAGTGGATGTTTGACATATCGGATGTTTGCTCTAGACACTTTTTTGGCAACCATTGGATTTCAAAATTTTTTTACTGAAAATGTTTCAGACCATACCGATTTTTTTACCGCGCATGAACGAATTTGGCAAAATTTTTCATCACCAACTAAAGTTTACGGTTTTTCTGAAATTTTTTTTGCCTTTTAGCGAATAGGCGCAAAATTATCTTTTTGATTACTTTTTTTAAATTTAAGTAGGAACAAAAAAGTTTAAAAAACGTAAGAAATGGATTTATTTTTTTCCTTCTGATTTACTTTTTTAATTTTGTTTTTTGTTAATCTTTTTGATTATTAAAAAAACATTTAAATTTTTTTCCGCTCGCTGGTGATAAGGCAACAACTTTTGAACTGTTTGATGAGTTTGGCGTCAAAAATTTCTTCTATTGCTTAGAAAACAATTTCTTTTGACTAGCGACAACCTTTTCTTTCCACTTCAAAACTATAACACGATCCTATAATTTTTGTTCCGACCATTGAAAATGGGGCGTAACTTTGTATTCGGTTTTTTCTTCTTTTATTTTCTACGCAAAGTAAATAAATTAATTTATAAACGACATTTTTGTGGTTTCGTCCTAATTTATCAAGCTTCGACCGCGTGAAAAAACGTTCTTCATAAAATTCATGGATGGGGCTAAAAAATACAGGGGTGGGGTCAACCGGTAAATGTGACTGCACAAAACTCATTGCCTCTCACCTCCCCCCTCTTGACTCTCAGGGGCAGTGTTGGAGTCGGAGTCCTCGGAGTGCACATGTTCAATGACAGAAGCCGACCCAGCATGGCATCCACTACTCCTGTGGAAACTGAGGTCTATCTTCAGATTGGCTATCTCGCTGTAGCACTCCTTCAGCTGCCACTCTGTGTCCTGCAGTTTGTTGTACAACTCCTCCACTTCTTTCCCATACGCACTGCACTGGTTCTCAAGCTAGAAAACATTCAGATTAAGATTTTGAGTCAATTTTTCCAAAAAAAAACAATGGGCTCACACGTTCCATTGAAATTTTATTTTTTTCTTTGTTTTGGCCCGTATTTCTGTGCGCTGCATTTCTTTTTTTTTCGCACGAGATTTTACTCATTAAAAAGACCCTAATCAGAAAAAATCAAGTTGTTTGAGAAAATTGGTCAAAAAATTTAAAACTTTAAAATTTTGCAATTAAGCATCACAAAGGCTATATTGTTCCGATCGTTGAAAGTGAGGAGGAACTTTTTTAGTCTAATTACGAGCGAGTAATTACGAGCGAGTAAAGCTAGAGAATATGTGTTAAAGTAGGATAATTTTGTGAGCTTGAAAAAGTTGGTTTTACTCCAAGAAAACTAGCTTTCGAAATTTCATTTAGTGTTCAAAGCTTCCTGGCATAAGAATTTTTTTTTCTAAAAATTTGCAAAAAAATTTGCACAGCAACTGACTAATCATTTCAGCTTTTTAATTCCTTTTCACTTTTTAAACAAGTACTGGATAACAATCAAATCAAATACTTCTACCTGGAACAGTTGGTTCTTGAGCACATCATTAGTCTCACTTAGCCCCCCTCTCTCCTTCTCACACACCTCCAGTCTGGAGTGGACCAACTCCAGGTCCCTCCCCTTCACCTCCACCTCCCCCTCCCACTGTCTCTTCTGGTTGTGGTAAGTCTCGTCCAGCAGAGCGTACTCTGACTGCAGGCCACGCAGTTGGCTGCTCACGTTCTGGTTCTCGTCCTGTCAGCGACAATTTCGGTTCATTCAAAAAAGTTTTGTCTTTTATACTTTATACTTTTATACAAAAAAGTGGGTAAAAAATGAACTATTAAAGTAATTTTGTTTTCAACTTTATGATCCATTTTTGAGTGTAAAACTGTTTCGGTTACTGCATTCAAGCACGAAAACACCTAAAAACTTAACTTTTAAACTTAACTTAATTAATTTTGTCAATTGAATAGCCCAGCCCGGGTTGCCAACAAATGCTTGTCATAAACTTATCAGGCTAAGGCCCATATTCAGAAGAAAATGCCTCAAATTTTGATTATTTTGATTGGATTTTAATCGATGTGACCTCCAGTTCGTGTATGCGTGCGATGAGTGTGTTCACAGTCTCCCCATTGGACACTTCTAGCTCTTCAGGGACTCTGTCGTCCGCCTTCAGGGCATCCATGATGGCCAGCAGTCTAGTCTTTTCATCCTGCACGAACTGCAGTTGCCCTGCATTTTAAACCCATTTAGGTTCATAAACATTTGATATATAAGGAAAGATGTTTACGAATCAGGGGCGGATCTAGGATTTTCTCGAGGGGGGGGGGGCGGATTTTCAAAAAAAATTCGAAAATTTTGACGACCTTTTTTTTTTTTTAGGTCGACCAAATTGATTTTTCGAGCTCTCCCAAAGCACTGTTTTGCCCCTATTTTGGCTAAATTTTCTGGTCGGTCGGCCAAAAATGGATTTCTGAAAAAGTATCAAAGGGGGGATTCTTTGGGTCGGCAGGGGGTCGAATCCCTGAGGGAGGAGAACGTCCGCCCCCCCGCCCTCCCCCCCCCCCCCCTAAATCCGCCCCTGTTACGAATCATGGCAAAATTTTCACTTAATCAGGCCATAAATGCTGGGATTAAAGAAAAATTACAGATAACAAAACCTAGATTTGCTCATAGTTTTCCAGTTTAGTGATTGCTTTTGGCGACACTTCATGTGATCAATCCGCAATAACTGTTTTTTTTTGCAAATCGAGGAAAATGAGTTTTGAAATCCAGCAGCGCTGTTTATCCAGCAGCGTGTTTAGCAGCGTGAATTTTGAATTTTGAAATCCAGCAGCGGGGGGGGGGGCGGTAGTTAGCAGGAGCAGGCTAATCTTATCATGTATTTACCCCTCATGTCCGCGCCCTCTTCCCCTTAGTTCTTTCCCGCCTCATGAAACCAATTCGTTTCGTTTTAACAAGAGTTCCCTCCTCTTACCCTCTAGATGGTCGATGTGGTCCTCTGCCTCCCGAAGGTGTTCTGTAATCTCATCCTCCCTCTGCCTACTCACTTCTAGATCCTTCTCTAGCTTAGCCACCTGCGCCTCCAACTCACTGTCTCGGCGGGAACGCCTCTGCAAACAAAGTCACAAACATCATAGTCTCTCATCCGAGTAAGAAATCCAAAATAACGCTGAAATGAAAAAAAGCTTGTCTTCAATAAAACTTTGCATTTGCAGAAAACATTTTTTACAAAAACAAACTGAAACAGCAGTTCATTAACCAAAAGTAGTACCAAGAGATTTCTGAGCAATGAAGTTTTTCTAAAATTTTTATAATTAGTTAAAAAAAGAAAAGAGATCAATGATATATCAAAGTTGCATTGAAACTGCGTCGTTTTAGGTAAATTTTTGATGAGTTTTTCGAAAGTGCGGCGGAACTCACTCTAATCCTTGGTCTGGTGAGTAGCTTTTCATCTAGATCTGGATGAATGAGATCCTCTTGACTACTAATCTGGCTCGAACTCTGGGTTTGAATTTGGGCTGCTGGGTTTGAGGACTGTTGCTGTTGCTGCAGGCTCTGAACCTATTTCAAAGAACAGAATTACTGAAATGTAACAACAACGTCAATGAAAGTATATCAAAAAAGGTTTGTCTTAAATCATTTTTTGCTATTATTTTTGAGTTAATCAGTTCACGAGCATAAAACGATGCGTGGACCTTAGCGACAATTCGCAATGAGCGAGAATTCGTAACAAGGCATTGGCAAGTAGAATACGCTTGCTCCGCTGCGCTTACATCCGGCACGAGAGGAATACCTCGCGTGAATCAGTATTTACCCCTTAACTTACTGTTACGAATTGTCGCCATTTACGAATTGTCACCTGTTACGAATTGTCGCCTCACGCCTATAGAAACGAGAAATGCTCCCCTAATGCTGCTCCTAAAGTCTATATTAAAATCTTGAATAAATATTTCTACTTTTAAGCTGTAGTTGCTTTTGAAAAAATATATTTTTGCGTCTGCAATTATTAGTATTATCTTGACTAATTCTTTGAACCTCTTGTTGAAGTCTCAAGTTCTCTTCCTGTAATCTACTTCTCCCGTCCTGTGACTCATTCAGCCGGCGTCTCAAGTTGTCACTCCCCTCCCCATCCCCACCAGCACCCACTATACTTCCCCCTCCCCCGTTGATCTTCTCCTGCAGTCGGGTGTCTGCTGTCTCGGAGGCGGGGTTCTTCTGCAACTCCGACAGGAGGGCGTCCCTTTCGCTCTCTATTTCGGCCAGTTCTTTTTGAGCTCTCCTGTTTCAAAAATGGGTAAAGACAACATCTTGGAGAAATCGTTACCTTTTGAAAACGACATTTTTAAAATGTTTTATCAAAAAAATTGAATGCAGCTCAAACAATTTTGGCCAAACTGCTGGTTTTGATTGTTTTAGTAGAAGTTGGATCGTAAGTTGTGTAGTCCCAATGACCGATTTCTCCAAAGTCCAGCCGCTTAGAAAAAGATTCTGATCCAGTTTCCATTTGTTCAGCTCACCTGTATTTATACTGCAGCACTCTGTGGTCTCTTCCCAACTTGGAGTTCTCCTCTTTGAGGTCCTTGATGAACAGCATGTCCCCCTGGTGGAACCTGTCCTGTGCCTCCTCCAGTGCCCCCTTGTAGTACTCCACCTCCTCTTCCAATCTCAACAGTCTCTCCTCATAGTCGTCTTCGTCGTCGTCTTCGTCTCCTTCACCGTCTTCACCGTCTGCCAAGATGTCATCATCTAGAAAAACAACTTCATGTTTAGCTGACCTTTTTATTTCTAGTCAAAAATGATCCTAGAGGATTAATTCCTTGCCTTCTTAACGCTATTTTTGAGGTCATAGCCTTCCAAAATCCCCTAAAAACGCATTTTTTTCAAAACTCTTCAAAGTGTTTTGGAAGAGCTCGAAAATTTAATTTGGTCGATTTCAAAAAGTGTTGACAAAACGTTTGACATTTTTTTTTTCAAAAATCAGCCTCCTTCCTCGGGAAAAACTCTGTCTTCTTATTACTTTCTGTATTACTTCCGACCACTCAGATTCACCTGTAATCACTTGAAAATGCTCATGCCAACCTAATCACGAAATGAAAAAATGATCATTTTAATTATGAAGGTCGTTCATGGAGTCAAGTGGTATCCCCTGAATCTCTGTAACATCCCCGTCTTCGAGCAAGGCATAAACGGTCAACTCCACCCCCGCTCCCTTAAATCCTCTCCTGTTTCCAAGGATTACACGAACTGCGAAAGCTGATGTAAGCTAATAGTGATTAAACCTGCATCGCGATGACCGCGTGAACTAGTGCCTGTGATGCGTCTACTGCCCCTCCCAGTCAGTCGCTTCCAGCTGCTGCTACAGGTCAGTGACCCCGCCTCCCCTCCTCCCCCATATGTGTCCAGGAACACAGTGGCCCCTCCCAGTTTCCCACTGCTGCCCTGGATGCGACTGGAGTCTGCTTCTGGATCTAACTCGAGGCTGTCGCAGTCGCTGATCTCGACGTCCTCTTCGATCTCAGAGAGGGATTGTTCTTAAATTATAAAATATTAGACATTTTTTCTTTTGAAACATGAACAACCAGGAAAGAGCACAGAAAATTCCAATCACAGTTATAAATGCAAGCAATAAACAAAGAATTACAAAAAAAAATTAAATTTCGATTTTGTTTCAGTTTTGATACTAACGAACTTTTTTTCATTCAACATTTCCTGATAGTGTTATCTTTAATTTTATTGAAATATTTGTTAATCAACGTTTTATGTTCAAAATAATAAATAAATAGATCTTTTAGATCAAGACTCAAAATCAAGACTTCAGCCAAACATAAGACTTCTTATCTTAGCTGAGTTTGAGTCCGAGTAGTCAAAAAATCTGCTGTTATTCGCAAAAGGGAGACAGTTTTTTGTAAGGGTCCAAATCACGGCAATTTTTAATATGAAACTACCCCTGATTTGTTTCAATCTCCCGTTTAGTTGAGCCCAAACCAACCCACCCATACGCACATCGTGATTGTGCCCGATTAACAAACAAATGTGAGATTAAGGACATTTTGAATGAATAACTTCTTTTGCATTCAGGGTCATTGATAAGCGCAAAGCTACCCGCACCGAGCACCCATGGGCTTAGGTCGATTGTAATGGATTTCCGAGACAAAACAATCAGACCAATTTATTGATTATATGGTCAATATAATCGATTAATTTCGAAGGAAAAAATCCATATGATTGATTATAGTTCGCTATTTCTGGCACTTGATATTGGTTAATTATGCCAGTAAAACCAATTAAACTTGATTAATCATTATTAGAACAGTTTTGTAAAATTCATCAAAAACCTTTCAAAAAATCACTTCTAATTAATTATAATCAATTATAATAATCAATTTTGCAGAAAATTAAATGTGCAATAAACTTCTGCTGAAATCTCCCAACTACATTCAAACAATACCCCACATGCTTAAGTTGGGCGATAAAAACGTAGAAACAAAAGTTAGAGCCTCCTACCACCATTAAGGTTGTTGATGAAGGAGGGAGGTCGAGGTTGTTGCGAGTTGGCGGCAGGGTGAACTTCAACTAAGGGGATGGAGGGAGGAGGGGCTTGAGGTGGTTACTTGAAAATGCTGAGGGAGTTTGGAATGATGGGGTCGAGAAAACAAAAACATTCAAAATTTAATTTGAAACTTAAAGAAATATGAAACGTGATACTTAGCAACTGAACTACGCAGCAAATGAGATAATTATTAGAACAGTTTTATAAAATTCATCAAAAACCTTTCAAAAATCACTTCTAATTAATTATAATCAGTTATAGTAAGTTATAGAAATTAATAGGATAATAGGACTAATAGGACATAAAAATTAATAGGATAATACTATTATGATCAATTTTTAATGAATTATAATGCTTTATTTTGTAGTTTTATTGATGTTGAAGGGGCAGTACAACAGCGCCGAAGTACAGCAGTGCCGGAAATCAAAATTTTGTTCAATAGTGCCGAAAATTATTTTGAATACTTTTTTTACTCATCCCAAATCACTGACAAGAGTTATTTTTTTTCAAATGGACGGAAGTTGAAAAGACAAAAATGGTCGCTAGTTCCCCAAGCTCGGCGTCACAAATGTTTCTGAGCAAACAAATAACTCCAGCAACTTTTCAGATTTCCTTCTTTCTTGACATCGTTCCAAAGCAAAACAGTATTCACGCAAAACTGCCTAAAGAACTCAACTATTCAAGAACTCAAATATGAACAAACTGAACGCCCCCATTCTGAATGTAAAATGGCACTATAATCGATTATGATCCATTGAGTGTTCGGTGCCCGTAGATTTAATATCTGTTTGTATCGCTTGATTATATGTTATATATAGAAATATCCATAACCATGATGTAATTTTTGCTGGGTTGATTTTCGTAGCAAAAATTCCAGTGTTTTCAGAATCATCTCAAGAAGAATCACTGCTATCACATTTAAATATATAAGCCCACAATCGCGTACTATTTTTGCTTGCCTCTTGAAGACCTTACATCTATTTAAATGCAAAAAAGTTCAAGTGATTCTTGAAAATGTTAATTGAAATTACTCAAATTCAAAATCAAAATCTTTGTATTGATACGCTTGGAGACTGTTTTATATCTAATTTTAATAATGTTTCAACCACATAGTCGGGAAAGAAATGAATGTTGAATTCGATTGTGCTTTTTTCTCCACAAATCAGATACTAAACTGTTTCATCAAGTTGGGTTGAGTAATTCATGCTACATTGATAAAATCTGTTAAAAAAACTGCCCGTATGATTTTAAAATGTATGATTAGTCTTCAAATGGCATTTGCTCTAATCATCAGTCAAGCAGGCCAAAAAATAGCAGAAAACAAGCGCGATAAAATTTACGTTAATTTTGCTTTAAAACCCATTATTTAGACTGATAAACCATTTCAAATAAGTTTTTACCATGTTTTTATAAAAATTTTGTCTAAGTTTAATAGATGTTTGATATAGATAAATATCATTTTTCTAAATGTCTTGGTGTTCGATTTTGAAATCATGATACGCTTTCTACCGTTTCCGCTGAAAAACGATGACATTTCGACTGCTTACTTGATTTCAAATTTGTCAAAACACGTCTGCAAAACCAACTGATGGTTCTGATGCGAAGCAAATAGAACAAGACTGCTCGTATCAGGGCAAAGCCCTGAATGTTCCGACTGACTTTTAAGGTTTATGGAGCAGTAATAACATAAAAAAATTAATGAAATAAAATGAAATGGAAATTTTTTTCTAAAGTTTGAATTTTTTTAATGAAAATCATACCCCCACACGCCATATAAAGTACAAAAGGATAGATTTCGTTCATTGTAACAAATGAATTATGGAAAATAAGCTTGGTTCAACCAATTTGGAACGATTTATAAGAAGGGTTAAATCTCCGCTTACGCGTTAATAGCGCTAATTATATCGCGCGTTAATTGTCCCAAATTGGTTTAAAAAAATGGCCAAAATGGCAATCTTTAAACCCTCATAACTTTACGAAAAATGATCACAGGTGAAATATCTTTTCAAATCTAAGCTCAGGACAACAATACCTTTTGAATGATATTAAAAAATTCCGTCAAAAATTGCTAGTTAAAAAGTCGAAATTTGTCTGAAGAAAAAAAAAACCACCCGAGCACAAATATTCCGTTACTTTCGTATCGAAAGTCGGAACAACAAGACTGCTCGTATCAGGGCGAAGCCCTGATTGTTCCGACTGCCTTTTAAGGTTTATTGAGCAGCAGTAATACATTCAAAAAAATTAAATGAAATAAAATAAAATGAAAATTTTTTTTCTAAAATTTGAAATTTTTTATGAAAATTATCCCCCCACACGCCAAATAAAGTAGAAAAAGGTAGATTTCGTTCCTTGTAACATATCAATTATGGCAAATAAGCTTCGTTCAGCCAATTTGGAACGATTTCTAAGACGGATTAAATCTCCGCTTACGCGTTAATAGCGCGAATTATATCGCGCGTTATTTGTCCCAAATTGGTCAAAATGGCCAAAATGGCAATCTTTAAACCCCCATAATTTTACGAAAAATGATCACAGGTAAAATATATTTTCAAATTTAGGCTCAGGACAACAATAGCTTTCGAATGATAAAAAAAAAATTCAGTCAAAAATGGCTAGTTAAAAAGTTGAAATTTGTCTGAAGAAAAAAAAACCCACACCGAGCACAAATATTCCGTTACTTTCGTATCGAAAGTTGGAACAATAAAGTGACGGAGTTTTTTTTGCTAGGGCACTTTTGTTTTCACTCCCCCAGATAACTTTGGTTTTTTAAATAGCAAGTTTTGAAGGTTTTCAAAATATAATTTCGACCATATTTTTGTCCTGAGCTTCAATTAAAAAAGTATGTTACCTTCGTAAAGAGTTTAAAGATTGCAAATTGGACCAATTTGGGATAATGAAAGGGCCATATAGTTCGTGCCTTAGAAGTCGTTCCAAACTGAAACGATTTATGCTATTTGACCCATTTAATACTTCACTATATGTCACATATAATATTTTGTGCTTTACAAAGCGTGTCGGGGTATGGTTTTCAAAAATTCAACAAAAGTCGATTTTATTTTGAACGTTTTTAAGCAAACATTACCCAATGACTTTGAAAGGCAGTCGGAACATTCAGGGCTTCGCCCCGATACGAGCAGTTTTGTCTCGTCATATTTTTGAATTTTGGTAGATTTGTTAACGAGTTTTTTCTTTTTGTTCGTCTGTGAGAGAAAAGCCGCAACACATACGCACTCCGAAGGAGAAATCAAATTTCTGAAACCTCATTCTGTGACTATACCTGTTCCTTGTGCGTTGTCTTCTGCGTCCGATTGGATCCCAGCCGATGACTCATTGCCCCCTTCTCCCTCCCCCTCTCCTCCCCCTTCAACCAGCATCCTCTTCTCGTTCACCTCGAATGAATCAGCTGCCGAAGTTGTGTTGTCGCCTCCCAGTCGGGATAAGTCGGGGATAGTCCGGGCACGACTGGCGAAACCCGAGCCAGAGCTGTTAGGGTCAGTCGGATCCTCATTATTTAACGGGTCTTCTGCGTCATTCGTGGCTTGATTAGTCTTGTCCATTTGAGAACATATGTTTTTTTTACGATATCGATAATAAGGCAAAGGAGGCTTGTTTTGTGTAATCTCTTTTGAATTTTTCAAAAGCTTACAAAAAAGGGCAGTAGCTGCTGTATAGTTTTTTCTTATTTTCGGACTAGGAAAAATTAATCCATGAAAGAAAAACCTTCATAGTTTTGATGCTTTAACTTTGCGGTCACGAGAAAAAAAAATGTATTTGTTGAAACGAACATAAATATGATTTCTTATGTCGGAAATTTGTACCGCTGTTAATAAATCACAAATTGTTTATTAAAGTCGCACGGTACGGTACAGGACCAAGTATTTCACATGGCAAGAACGTTGAATATAATACACGTTCTGGGCTATTTCGTGAGTGGAGTTTTTGTTTAGTCAGTTATATAAGAATTAGTAAGCAGGCCGTCGTCTCCCCGGCATATATTTCCACAGGTCTCTTTTGGGAATTTGGAAGTTTAAGCCGTGGGTTAAAGTGGCAAAACATGGGTTTCAGTTCTATGAGCCCGGCATGAATAATTCAGTCACGTACCAAGGGAAATTAACTACGTGACATGCAGAATGGCCGATGAACTCAAACGGCGTTGAACCGAAATCAGCCTAAATTGATTTTTCTATTTTTGGTAGTTTTCTTGTTTTCTTGGATGGTTGCAAAAACATGATTTTCTGAGATTTTATAAAGATTCGTTATGAAAACTGTTCTGAAGTTTCAGTTTTTTGTCTTCGCTCAAATGATCATTCGGTAGTTTGAAACTTGGTCGATGCCTTGGGGGCATGAAGTCATTTGGGGCTTTAATCAATTTCTTCTCTCGAACTTTCCGTACGCGAATTATATTCCAAAACCAAACCTATGGAGTCCAAACACATTTTAAATATATAGAGTTACAGCTTACTCTTAATATACACGTAAAAGGGGACCCAAAACGTATTTACGTTGTCTCATACCACATAGCAAAAGGCACCGCAAGGAACTTTTGAAAATAAACAAAACCGAGCATACTTTTACAGTAATACACCATGTTTTAGGTTTTTGTTATCTCGACATGTGAATCTTTGAGTTTTGAAACCAATATGATTTCGTCCTTGCAATGATCTTAGACACGGAGTAAATGGTAATCTAAATCATTCACGAGATTTGTCGTCTCAAAATGCAAACAACGTTCCTTGATCGTTCCTTGATCGCGCCAGTCTCGGTTAACTTGCCTTCGGTAGCGCCGATCGCGGACACCTTGCATCGATCTGCAAGGTCTGGTAATTACCAATTTTGGTCGCGACAGTTTGAAAATACCAAATTCGTTTGCGACCGTTTGATCATAAAAGCCCGTTTTTTATGAGTTTTTTCCTGTGCAAATAACGAACATAAGAGACCTGCACCGTGAACTTTTAAAATATCTTTTCTTTGCTCCAATACCGGTGAATCAATGCATTTTTTCCTATCTGGTTCTGTGTAGACTTGGGTGTCTCTCTTCGTCCAAGTTCTGCTAGCGATGGAGAACTCAATATCTCAATTTTGCAACTCAAAATTGAGATATTGAGTTGCAAAAGTAAGTAGGAGCAAATGGAACCTGATCTAAACTACATTTTATGATTGGATAAATTAGATATTTTACCACTGTAAAGTATTTAATATTAACCAATCATGATCCATCTAACTAACAACCCACTTATTTGTAAGTGCTGAAATTACTTGTAATTTCAGCACCAGAGAGATTTGAATTTAACTTAGAAATTAGTTGACTCTCCAAGAAGACTTCAGCAGCCGCAATAAACCAGTATACCCTAGATCTATTGAGCCTAGCAGAGACTAGTTAAACAACCTGAGACTAGATAGTATAAGAGAGAGTAAGATTAGGATCGGTATTAGACTAAGAAGTTGCACGAATCTATCCGGCCGAAAATAAGATAGCGTGACGAGCAGACGGTGTACCCTATCCGAAATTACTCTATGAGTTAACCACCTCGGTTATAACTCATCTGGTGCGACCATAAGTCTCGAACAAGACCTTAATAGCTTAGAATTAACCAAAAATAGATTAGAATTTAGACAAAACATTTTTAAAAATGTTATACGACGATAATTTAATCGAAATGTCTCTACGACTCAATAGATCAGAGCCAATATTCCGAACGATAATAGAACTACCCGGAATCGCAAGAAGACCTCGAACAAGAGAGGACATACGACAAAGTAGAAACTTACCAAATAGTTATATGATAGTACGGCAAAAGCCAACACAAACTTTTATATTTAGAATCTTATTAGCAATGAATTTAGATTTTCATTTGCAAACTTAAATCTTGAAGTCAATCTTCATAATCATTACAGGCGCTAAGCAAAATATTAATATACAATAACGATTGATAAAAATATCTCAGATCGTTTGCCTAAAACTCTGCAGTATTATATAAAACATGTTTGGAAAATATTTATTGAAAAACAAAACAAAAATTAGTAGCATGACAATAAACTGTTAGTAATCATAAAATCATCAGTTGTCTCAGCTTCATCACCTAAAACATAACAGCAATCATAAGCTCACTAATATCATTAAAACACTAAATCTTTTCTTAAACAAATTTAAATCATTTTAACTTAAATTCACTTAATTTTAAAATCAGATCATCAAGGCTTATCCTTGGATCTTAATTCATTTTCTATTTAATTAAATTTAAACTTGATCATCAAGGCCTATCCTTGGATCAAAAAGAACAAATTTGTTCTCCCTCACCCACTTAGCTAGTGTCTAACGACCTCAAACGTCGATTCACTATCCAACCCTTTCAAAAAACCCAAGACTAATAGAAATTTTTGAACAAAACTAATCATTCAAATTAGGATAAACAGTGAAGAACTTCGGTTATTCATCCTTCACTTGAACCCTCCTCTTACCAGACCCAGGATAAATCTTAGACTTAGTAAGTTTAAAATAGTATCTAACGAACTACTCGCGTTCTAATTATACCTGAACCTTGTGGATCGATTTACTATTCTCCAACCCTTGAACACAATCACTACCCCTAAGTAAGATTATGTAAGTTAACACCTTAGCTTATACTAGCCACGAGAAAGTAAAAAATCATTCTTCGGAATCGATATACTTTTCTCTCCAACCCTGAACAAATAGACCCAGGTTAAGCTAACCAAAAAATCGTAAGGACTAACAATTTAAGAAAATAGAAATCATCTAACAACTTTCTGCATCTATCATCCTAAACCTTATGTCATTTAAAAATCTAGGAAACAAACAAACAATCGTTTTACACAACTGTGAAATAGAAAACGAAAAATACGACCTTGTAATCACACCTCACACACAAACAGTTGGATATATTAGAACAAAACGACAAACACTAAAAAGAAAAATAATAACTAAACAAAGACAATTAACACGAAAAAGATTTTCCAAAAATAGAAACGCATTTTCAGAATCAGAAGCCAGCAATTTAGACGAACTCTATAAATTAAAAGAATCTATAGATAAAAATTGCCCCATTCACGATCAATTATATTTTTCCGACTCAGAAACAACTTCAAATTCATCAAAAAGAGGAAAAAGACGAATAAAAAAGCAATATAAACACAAACCAGTACACTTATATAACTGCAATCAACCAATTAGACACATCGATAATTACCTATTAACAGTCATTAAACGAAAAAATGAGCCAAACACACACTCCAAGTGAAGATAGTCCAGATGATGACGATATCTTCCCCTTCCTCGTAGATGCAACTAATGATAGAGGACAGCATATACTTTGCAAGAATTTACTACTAAAATTATTTGAACCCGGAATCAGCCCATGTAAAACAAAATTCCCAGATGTAAAAATAAAAAGACAAATTATTGATCACTATCTGAAAGATATATGTAATTTAACACAACACTACGGAATCTACACCATAGAATTCAGCTCACCAAACCCGAATCACCGCAAATACGTAATTCAAACAGACGACCTTGATTTAGAATTTTCAAAAGTATTCTCAGAATACATAAAAAGCATACAATATCATAATTCACAAAGAGCAAACTCCATATTCACTAATGAAGTTTTTGCCATAATATATAGTTATATCTCAATATTAGAGAACGAAATTCCAATCCCAAATGTCTCACCGACAGAGACATCTAAACATATAAAGGTACGACATGAAATCACACTATTTTCAACTTTTCTACATATAATTAAAGAAAATTTCACCAAAGATGATGTTTCACAACATACAAAACATGATTTACAAAAAATTTTGGCATGGTTTATAATAGATTATTTCACACATAATATAGATTTAATTTCACAAGCAAGAAAAAATTTCAGACCTCAAAATTCAAACGATGATACCGCCATCACAGAACAGTCAGATTACGTTTGGGACCCCGAATGGTCTCATTATGCATTTATAAATATTCCACAATCAATTGCAAGTCAAGCAATAAGTACAATATCTTATACCAGAGATTATGTAAGAGTAGTACCATTAACCATTGATGCAACACCATTAAACTACAATACATTTCTACCGGATACGCGAAATAACAGCTTAAACTCGACCGTCATACACAATGAAAACCTTAATTGAACTAGAAATCTCACTCAGCAAGATATTCAGACACCATCACACTTCATAAATGAAGAAATTGTCCAAACAACAACAACTACACAACAAAGTATTTCACCAATACGTCCAAATTTAACTACACCAAGAAATACAAACACTTCGCTAGCACAGGTAACCTTACAATCAACCGTTAAACCTTCGCTTGCTCCAAAATATTCACAAATGGATTACCAAACATATAGACCCATGACAATACAGTCAAAAACACGCAGAGCATTCACAAGAAACAACTTTGCGGAACATAATTATAATTATACACATTCATCAAAAACAAACTATCCTCCACGAAATAATAATAATAATCAAATCAGATCTCAATATTGGAATAATCCAATGGCAACAACCAATTCAGTAAATTTTCAAGCTAATCCACATCCTCCACAGGATCATAGTGAAAATTACCCATTCTTTCAACGGAATAAAAATGAAAAACAAGCACCTCATCAAACGGATTACCTATCCTCTGATGATGATCATTTACAACCAGATATATTTGCACCATATACCCAAGAATATCGCGGACAAGGAATGCAGAAACCATATACACATCATAGAAATTTTTCTCCACACCAGATAGATACACAAAATCAACAACCAATACAAATGCAAAACCCAATTAATACACAATCTTTTCAACCAATTCAGCCACAAAACCCAATGATTACACACTCATATCAACCAACACAAATGCAAATTGAAATACCACTTCCATATTATCTTCAACAACACGAAAT